AAAACCTCCAGACGTTCTTTGATAAGAGTGACTGAGTATAAATATAAGCACAGAAGTGAGAAAAAAAAAAAACTGCCTCGGATTTTTGGTGGAGTTTTTATGACTAGCAGCCAATTTCAACGTCTGTGTCACTGCACAATGTCAAACAGCATAGTGGAAAAATGTGTAATAGCTCTTTAAAGCTTCAAGTGCGTTTCCTTTGATAAAATACACTGGGTATCATCAACACAGTCTTTATTTTTGATGCACCCTAAACCCCTTAATGGTCATCAACGTCAGAGAGATTCACGGTGGACATAAATCATGCGGCAATATGAGTTTAGATTTTTTTTTTTGTTTCCCTTTTTAGGGAGACATCTCTGCAAACTGAAACATTATCTGCTATTTTCTAAAGAAATCTCTGGAACCTTGTGGGGGTTTATCTTACGTGGGTACATTTTCATTATGGCTGCTGCTACTTGTAATTATAACCAACACTAACCAGGATTTGTATGTCCACAAGGGGGCTGTGCTGCACTGAGTCTACACGGCTAATACTATACTATATCTTCTGGCAAAAAATACATCAACTAATTTCTCAGATTAATCAGATTAATCATCTCTAATACACAGTCAATACACTTGCATTTTTTTTACAGAATTTTCTACTGCACTATTTTTGCATCCCTGACGCTGTGTAAAATATAGTCTAGCCTTAAGTAAATAGCAAGTATGCTAACGGGAGTCTGTAAATAAAATTAAAAAAAATGATGAAAACATTTCAGTTTTTGCCTTTACAAGTTCACAAGGACACAAAAATACACGCTGCTCTGCTGAGTTCACCACCACAGCAGCAGTTAAAGAAAAAGTATAACCCGGAATAAAATGATTTAATGAAAGGGATTTGTATTTTACTGCGAAAAAGTCGACTTCAAAGAGCATAAGTAATAGTGACCTATCCTTAAGTGCTTGTTATCCTGCAGCATGTTTCCCTTGGCTTATTAAAGCCAGACAGATAGTGTGTTGATATCAAAGTTGCAGTTGTTAAAGGAGAAAATGGAAGAAATGTGGGGGGAAATGAGTGTTGAGGAATGTCTGGCCGTCTGCGTGACTGGTTGGCTGGCTGGTTAGCTGGTTGACTGGCTCCCCAAATGTGGTTTTCAAAGATATTTATATATGCAAGTTCTACAAAGTTGCCAAAGAAACCACCATCACTTTTCTCCCCCGGCCCAATCACCGCGCCCTTCACAGGCACATGACTGCACGGCACACGCAACATGCTTCAATGGTCGCGCCGCAGTTCAGGGCCTTTTATTCCCATTAAACACACACACACAGACTCAGACTCACACACGAAAAGACTGTTTTTTTTATATATATCCTCTCATAGCCTCATAGCCCTACATAGAGCTAATCCTGATGCTAACCCAAACTCAGTGACTCTAAGTCTGACCCCCATTCTAATCCTGACTCACTAGGCATAGACCTGTCCCCAAAATGACAGTGCGTCCCTGCAATAACAATATTTTCCAACACACACACACGTATGCATTAAACCATTGTTTTCCAAAGACTGGGTCGCGACCCTTAGGTGGGTCACAAAAGTTTTTTTTTTGGGTCTTCTTGCATAATGTTTCCCAGGAGTTTATGAATAATGTCTATTGACTTGGGTTGTGAAGGTTTGTGACTTTTTAAAATATGGCTCCCCAGAAAAAGAAATTTGGGAAACACTGCATTAAACTGCTGTTAAACCTTTTCAGTAACTCCTCTCCTCACTTGACTCCTCCTCCGCCTCAAACGCACAAAGAGCCTGATAAACCCCAAAGTGCTCCTTTATCGTTAGCAGATATTTATTTTACACAGTTTATGGTTGTGAATGTCAAAGTCATCAGGGAAACTGCGCTCCAACATGTTGATTTAAGGGAACATTTACATAGACTGCACTCTCTGCTCCTGCTTCTTTGTCTCTCCGTTTCCTTTCCTAACCAGAACCACATTGACCCTGCCTTTGAACATAGTGCACCAAACGCTGCTCTGCTGGTGAAATGCACTGAGTGGGCACATGCACCGTGCTGGGCCGGAGCCAAACTAATAACTGTGCCGTATTAGCAGGTCACCATAATGCCATGTTTTCACATGTAGTGGGCTGAAGTCAAATAAACCAAAGGTTTGACATGAGCTTTTCCCAGTGTTCTGAATGATTAACATGTCAAAATGACTTGGGGAGTGTATTCATCCAGCTGCTGATGAAGCTAGAGGGAGGAGCACCTTGTGGTTTTCACCCCATGTACATTTGTGCTTTGACTGCGTAAATGTTTGATGGGCGAATAAATATACCGTAATCACATCATGTGATGTGAAGGCATGAAAAGATGTGAGGTTTTCTGTATGTAGCTGTTAGCCTTTAAAATGGGCAAAAGACTTAAGCATCTGAGACGTTTAAAACCGTTGAGAGCAGCAGAATAAAGAGCTAAGCTAAAAAAAAAAACTGTGAAGCTCATTTAAATGGTGATGATTCTCCAGGGAACAGTGAGCTCATTATTGTTACATGTACAGTAAAACCCTTTAGAGGAAAATGAAGGTTAAAGCGTAACAGGAAATGCACAGAAGCTAACACACACAACCAGAGAACGAGCTGCTATTGGATAAAAACTCTGTCAGTCAAACAGTTGCTCCAATTTCCTATATCTTCACAATGGTCCAGAGACTGCCTTTATTTCAGTAGGCTAAGGTCTTTTTTATATTCAGTCTATGGTTTGGTTCCATCTTTCTGGTGTTTCATTTTTAGTCGTCTTTCACTACTAGATGTCCCTGTGTCTCGTCCTGTCTCGTCCTCATGTCCTCAAACTGAGTCTGACTGTTTTTTGTTTTTTTTACCAGTGTTCCCTCAGCCCTGTGTCCTCGTGTCTTATAATCTCTGTTCTTCTCTGTCTCCTTGTCAGATCGTTTGTTATCATTTCTTAATATGAATCCCTGCTCCGTTTGAATTGTACATTCTATTCCCTGCTATGTTCTGTTTTATTCACCGTGGTTCACAGTTGGATCTGCTGGGTTTTTGTCTTCATCTCATGGTGAAATGTCTGTTGGCCTTTTGTTTCCTCCATTTGGATTTTGATTTTTTATTTGTTAGTTTTGTGTTTAATATTTTGAGTTTTTGCTTTGTTAAAAACTGGGCTGTTTTAAAATTCAGTTGAGCTGCTATTTATTGAGAATACTAGTCTGTGATGACGTATTACTTCAGACTGACACACAATCCTATACTCAGTACACTTCAGTACTTTGGCTGGACATGAATAGCTCAAATTAGACAAGCAGGGTTTAAAATGTCAAAACATACTCTCTGATATTTATAAGTGTCCATTCATCTTCTACTTATCCTCTTATGGGATGTGAGGGAAACAGGAGCAGAACGCTGCTGACATCAGGCAGAAGTCAGGAAACGCTGGTCAGTTTGGTGGTTTGCCACTGGACTGATGGTAATGTGACGTGAATTGTATTTTGAAGAGAAATCCAACTTGTATTATTATATGGCTCTTGTGTCATTAGCAAAAAAGCAGAATTAACCAAATGTTTGGATCACAGCTGTAATTTATTGTTGCACCTCCGTCGCTGTTCAGGTGTGTTTGCTGTGGATCACTTTCACGTCAGAATCTCAACAGAGATCTGTGAAAACTGTGATTAACAAACAGACTGGATTAATTAAATAGCTTTTCCCCCTCCTTTCACCCCAAAGAGCGTTAATTACATTCCTGCACAAATTACCGGTGGATTTACGTTCACACAGACAGGAGCTCCGTTCTGCTGCGGAAACTTCTGGAGCTCCAAATCGTATCAGTGGAAATTAAATGAGAAGAGAATGCAGTGTTGCCCTGATGTTCATCGTGGATGCAGCTGGTCAGACTCCTGACCTTTCAGTTGGAGGGTCAGGTGCTGTGAGAATCAGATGTTGTGTTTGGAATTCTAAGTCCTCTTCTGTTGTTGCCACTTCTCTTTTCCTTATATATTCAAACCCCAGTTCCAGAATGTTGCTGTTAGATAAACCAAAATAACTCCATCTCCCTAATGTACAGATCTGCAAATGTGTGGCTTAAGTTTTTTTTTATTTGTGACAATCATGTTTGAAATCATTGGCATTAGTTACAGTTAAAAAGCTTTGAAAGTGTCACGTTTCGCAGATTAATAAACGCTTTTATTTTGACGGCTTTGATGGATTCACCAAATGTATGAACATCAGGCAACTTTCTTCGTAACTCGAAACACATCATTGCCTTCATAACACGTTGCAGTTGAACTAACATGGCCCAAACAGATCCTCGAGTTGTCCTGCATTCCTACATATTCTATAGTGATGCTCAGCCTCCCATGAAACAGTCGCAGGAACCGATGGAAGGCACGTACACTCACACAAGAGGAACAGAGAGAGGGGGGAGAGAGAACTTATTTTGAATCCCTGAATGTTTATTCCAGTCCTTCTCTTCTCTCTGTTGGTTAATGCATCTTGTCAAGAAACAATAAAACTTTAAATCGAAGCAGAGCCGGCGCTCGGAGGAAGGTAATGGAAGTCATTAGAGAACGCTATTGTTCATAATGTGTGTGTCCTCTCCTGTCCTTGTGTGTGTCAGATTGTGCGTATATGGATGCGTGTCTGCGCATGCATCTGCAGTAACTCAAATATTAGTGTGTTTTGCATGTGTGGACCACGCATTCATAGTTTACATGCATCTGTACAATCACTCTGTTTACAGGCTCTGAGACAGAGAGCAGAGTCCCTGGGACTCGGCCATTACTCACAGCACATTCGGACCTTTTAATAGGAAACCAAGTGAGATTTGTCTCAGTGCGGACAATGGCTCATTGATGCTGGTGCCGTTTCACCCCTACCTCCTCACTCCCTCAGCACCTTTAGGTGCTGACAGACCGATAGGCGGCCATTGTTCCACAGCTGAATCAGAGGAAAGTAAACCGTGGCCTTTCCTTTCCTTTCCTCTGCTCATGCCTCCCTCGTTCACTTTGCCGCCTGCTCCTCGTGAACTTCCTCACTTCATTTTACAGAGTCATTACGTGTCTTTTCCTCACTTCTTTTTTTTCTATTTGGATTTCAAAGAGCTCCATTTGCTTGCCCACTCATTTCCTGCTCGTTTTCCCCTTTGTTCTCGTTCCTCCTCCTCATCTCACTGTCTCTTCCTCCCCCCCTCCCTCTGCTCTTCCCTGCCGTGCATCTGTCATTCCCACTCTCCCTCTCTTTTCATCTCCCGACTGTACGTATACATCTATCCGGGCCTGGGGTGCCACTAGCAACTTGGCAGGTCACATTCTTTGCTCCTCCATCTGTTGGCTTGATCTCCAATTTCATTTTATCAACACTGTCATCTTTTTTTTTCCTGCATTGTTCCCTCTCTCCCGTTCTGTCTCTTGTGCTTCCTTCATCCGTTTGTGTCATCACCTTCATTTGTCCACAAATCTGTCTGCTTCCATAACACTCTCCTCCCAAAGCACCCAGAGGACCAATCTGGGGTGACTCCATGGTGAAAAGCACAGTCAAAGTTCAAAGAAGAGTTTGCTCAGCAGTGGCAGTTCAAATGAAGACAACTGTTATCTCCTCAGACTCTCCTCAGAAGTGTCACGCTCTGGCAATCGCTGCAGAACTTTATGATGATTGGGCTGCTATCAGAATCCCACACTACACTCCCACACCAGATATTCTGTGTCTTGAACGTGTCTGGCTAATGTGTCATAGACAATATCACAGCAAACAACACGCTGGCTCTTTTTCATGGAAACACTCCTAACTTTTTCAGAAATATTTTTTCTCCCCAGTCTATTGCAAAGTTGGGAGAATCAGTCAATATGAAACTACCTCCAACAGATGTTTAGTGTAGATAAGATGGCTGAAAACCACCTTCAAAATGTACTGTTACTTTTGGAGACTGCAGAGTGTGTGGAGTTAGCTTGTTAGCAAGTGAACAGTTGTTCCAGTATCTTACTGTAAAAAAGACTAGTGAGGGTAAATGTTGAATATAAAGGAAAATAATTTAATCATTCTTGTTTACTTTTGAGAAAAAAAAACCCTTTAAGCTTAAGTTACATGAGAGGCTGTGGGCCGTATGCAATTTGACCATGGGCCACAATTAGCCCTCGGGCCAGATTTTGGACAGGCCTGACATACATCTACTTTCTGTTGTTTGTCTTTCTGCTGCAGCAATTATAGAGAGAATTTTGGGGAATATTTTTATGATTAACTACGTATATAAATATTATATATACTATATAAAATGTATCTTTTTGATAGATATTATGTATTATTAACTATTCCAGTGTTTATTTTTTATTTCATTGTAAATTCTGCAGGTTACTTTTCACATTTTTACCTTTTACAACACTAATGCAATATTCAATTCTGCACATAAGGTGACAGCTGTTTCTATGTAGGGAGTCAGCGGGGAGAAGGCCTCTTCCTTCCGTCAATTAATGTTGCATTCTGGTGTCAGTCCACTGAGTGGCAGTGTCACGTCACAGCTAAGGTTCGGACAGACAACCGCCCACAGAATCCACCTCCACGTCTCTTTATAAAAGCAGTAGAAAAGATATATTGACGGAATGTGGGAACCACACACACACACAAACACACACACACACACACCCAGAGCCTCTGACAGCACCAAGTGACACTTTACAATAACACTACACTGCGAGGAGGGAGAGGAAGTTGACTTAACAAAGTGTCTGGGAATGAAAGGTGGTCTGTCTCAGTCACTCACAGCAAAGGTCAAAGTGGAGCAGCCAGAACAGAGCGCTCTCTGAGAGAACGTGTCAAACTTACACTCTCTTCAGGAATCTCACATCAACATCTGAAAAAGTGTCCGCTCCCCTCTGATGTTTTTTTTTTTTTTTTTAAATCAAAGGTGATGAGAAAAACGAACTCTGAATTACATGAATATTTTTTGTTATTTTATAAGTCCAGCTGACTTGATCGATTGTATGTTGTCACATGGTCTCATATGCAATCGTGTTGCATCATATTGTACCTCATGATTAAGGAACATAGTTATAATAATCTATGCCAATCAAATAGGCAGCAGAGTAAGACATTTTAGTTATCGCTGTATAACAGGCATTTATTCAAACACTACAATATTAAATATTGATAAATGCTGGTTTCAGATGAGCGTTAAATTCCAAAAGCCTGTATTTCTCAGTATAACAGTTTCCATGGAGTGAATCTGCATTAAACTGTTTCATATTGTGAGACTGTTAGAGTCTAGGAGTCATTGATTTTACTGTCAGAGTTTGTCTCAGTGCACCAAATGTTCACATCAACACTTCTTCACTGACGACGACTTCTTTATTTTAAGTCATGATCGCACTGAAAAGGACTTGGTACCAGTTTTAAAACTGAGCACAAGTTCCTGTTTACTGTGTAACAAAGGAATTTCTAACACGAAACTTTCTGGACGGAAGAATATGTTTTAATTGGCT